CGAACAGAAGCAATTCTCTCCACCAGATTTCTTCGGCAGTCCCCGTTTCTTTCACGTTCTGATGATAATGCACCCGTCCTATGCATGCCGATGGCAACTAAAGCAACAATTTGAGGTGAGTGCACACGCATAACTTGGTTTTGTTATCAAATCAATGGAGGCGGTTCGTCCTGACACCGCTGGCGCCCACCGAGATTCAGCCAAACAAAGCGCCCACCGCGAAGTCATCGATGCGGGCAGCGGTGATGCCACTGTTCCCGTGGTGGCCGCACGCACCAGCACCCACATGCATGATCCGGGCGCTGAACCAGTCAGCAAGGGCAGCCGAGCACGCTCTGCCTCCGCCCCCCGTCATAAAGACCGCTCAAAGACCTTGCATTATCCGTTCAAGCCCCGGCCATCTCCCCTTGACTTTGAGACTCTTGAAAAAGATCGTAACCCAATGTAAATTGATGTTGAACGTTCTTGCACAAACCGATTCGTTTACAGGCGCGGGTTTTACGTCCTTTTTTGGGTTGCAATGGCCTGGTACGCCATTACTTCTATATTAGATACGTGGAACAAAGAAGGAACTTCGTTCCGTTACGCGTTTTTCTCGCAAATGTCTGATCGCAGCAAAGACCTCTTGTATTCAGATCTGCTCATGCAACTCTCGTGCTTCACCGTTGTCCTCATTGTGAAATTGTATGAATTTAAGCTAGTGCCGTTGGATATTGCTTGGATTGTGAACTCTGTGTGGCTCGGCGGTTGGTTTGTGTCCGTGATTTCATGGGCATTGTACTCAAATTGGAAATGGGTTTGACTATTTGTCTTTGTTTTGTCATCAATTTACACCCCACTTTTCAAGACACAATCCGGCTCGTTCACAATCCACTGTATCGCAATGCTTATGAAGCAGGCCTCATATTTAATGTCGAACTCAGAAAACTTCTGGAAATTGTACCACCAAATTCCAAAACTCGAAGGCGCGTTGGCTGTTTTAAAAGCCGATGTCGACAGCCCTGAAGATGTCAATAAAATAGCGGACAATGAGAAAGAAGTCGCTCGCATCAATGACGAATTAAGGAATCTGAGGGCTCATTTGACTGGACACATTACTGGCCTTCATTTCCCTAAGAACCTGTCCGTCTTCAATTTTTTCGACTATATGCTAGTTCCTGTCCTTGTATATGAAATTGAATATCCAAGATCAGAAAAGTGAGCATTTTCTTGAAGGGCTTTAACTCCGCTCACGAATCCCTAAAGGTTTCGCCCGTTTAACTTTCTTCACAAGGCGGCAGGCACTTTTGGAACCTTAGTGCTATTGATTGTCATTGTCGAAAACAATATCCTTCCGATTTTGGCTCTGTCAAATGAACTGAATTTTTTCATGACAATTATGAAACTGATTGTGCCATTCATGACTTGTTTTTTACTTGTTTTTTTCATCATATTTGAGGTGAGGTTGAAAGCTTGAATTATTGGGGTTCTTAACGGCTTAAAGTTCATTTGCAACGCATTTGCCGAGTTGACATTGTTTGCCGATCGGGAATTTTATGAGGACTGGTGGAATTCAACGGCTTTTGACGAATATGCTCGTCGATGGAACAAGCCTGTTCATGAGTTTTTATACCGTCACGTGTATTTGCAGTTAATAGCCACTCAACGAATGTCCAAAAATGATGCATCACTGGCCACATTTTTCGTGAGTAGCTTGTTTCACGAGCTCGTGATGGCGCTGACAGGAAAGCGTCTGCGTCCTTGGTTATTTCTTTTGCAAATGTTTCAGTTACCGCTGATTATGTTCGCCAAATTGCCTTTCATCAAGAATAACAAGACCGTTGGAAATGCGTTCTTTTGGGTGGGGATGTTTTTGGGTCCCCCGTTGTTGGGTGCCTTGTATGCGAGAGAGCATTACATGAACCCATAGCAGTTTCATTCCCTTTCTTTCCTTCAACCTGATCTTTTGTTGGACATAAAGCTGTTTTTCCGTTGAAACAGTACCTGATGCATATGATTCCTACAACTGCACCGCCAACTTCGATCATTGGACCCATCGAAATTTCCCTTCAAAAAAGGGTTTTCATCCATTTTATTATGTCGCATTGCTGTTGGTGACACAAATAACCTTTTTGCGATATTTTTCGAATTTGTCTGTTAATTCAGGCACTTCCCGAAGCGTACTCCAAACTGATGTACCTGCACTTACTCAATTGTGATAGCTAAGGACCTTTCAAGCTTTGCCAAGTTTTCAGCCCTGATGCTTGTTCTATTTTGCAATGGCAGATCTCTTCTCATTTGAGGTTGACACTGATGTAAAGAGGGAGGCGTCACAAGCTGCCACATAAAGGAAGTCAAGCCTCCTCAAACCTTCTGTAGTGGTTGGAAAGACCTTGCCGTATATGGCAAACCACTTCTAAGGTATCACAATCTTATTGTCATGCTTTGAAAGTGTTGAGCTGCATACTGACTAAGTGTTACTCTGTGAACACCTGCATGGAAAGTGCCTCTACCTACATTATATACTGTGACACCAAATGCTGTCATTTGTTAACGTCTTTGTGGACCAGGAGCTGGTATTCTGCAACCTCCAGCAAAGATCGAGTGTGAACAAGCAAAGGCTACGGAACATATGAACGTTGGTCTCATACTTTAGTGGCTGGTATTCGACACAGCAATTTCAACTTGTATGGGATTTTAAATAAGTCAGCAATTGTTCAGTTCAACAGGTTCTTGGCAGCAGCAGATGGAATATACCATTCCCTTTCGTTGTTGGATTTGTCTTATTTTCGGAGGGATCGAATTGAAAAGGCTAGGACCTAAAGCATTTTTTTTATTATCTGTTTAGAAAATAAGCAATTAATTCAGTGATGACTAGCAGATTTGGCAATTTAGAAACAGCTAAAATTTTTAGCACAGAAATCTAGCATATTCCAAGAGGCTAAACAGCATGAAAACCTTGCCGATTTCTTCACAAATTTTGCATACTGAGATCATCTTGAGCAACATTTGCAGGTTTCTTCTTTGACATGATGGCAGAAAACTCAAAATCCTGAAATATTGAGTTTTAACTTTCAATTCTGAATTCCTAAAGACAAAAAGTATCAGTATGTCATTTGTTCCCTTTGCATTTCGCAATAGAGCTTAAAATCTGCCATTTGTCAAAGGTCTCACTCATTTCGACATCGCCCCTCGCCAAAAAGAAAATGTCGAATTTCGGGGACCCGTCTTCTACATTCGGAGCTGTAAAACTGGGCGTCTCAAAAGCCGAAATTGTGTCCGCCAGCTCGATTGACACGTTGCAGGAGTTTTTCGACGTGAATGTCAAGAGCCTCAGTGACGAGACGCCGGGGAAGCTCCAATCTGATGACGATTCAGGAGGATGCTATCAGTCAGATTTTGAGATGGACGCGTCTGAGCCTCGCACTCCGCCAACACCAGAAAAAGCGGGTGAGAATGAGGGAATGCGACGGACGGACGCGTCAGGCGAACCGGCGAAGCAGCAAGCGCAGCTTCACCGATTCGAAGGGAAAACGCATCCACTCCTCTTGACACAAAATATCCTTCGCCAATCAAAGATTTATGGCTCCTCAAAAGCCGCCTCGAAAAATCACATTCCGAAAAGTTCATCATCCAAGAAATCTCAAAAACACGAAAACATTTTCTCCAGACAAGGATCGTTTGCTGACAATAAGCGCGTAAAAAAATCTTCTTCATTTGCAGGCTTGCAATCAAAAGAGACCTCAACAGTCGATCAGGAAGTTGATCGAAAAGCCAAAAAGCAAATGAAAAAGCATTCCCAATCGCTGGGCTCGTTATCAAATATAGACCAACTTGCGAAATTGCAAACGCAAGTCGACTCTTTGAAATCTCTCCTGAAAGAGAAAGAAGAAGAGATAAAAACTCTGAAAATCGTAAGACCCATGTAACTTATCGCAATAACTGGTTTCAAAAGGTGAATCGCAGGCAGGATATTGCCATTAGAAATAATGACAAGACGCAGGTTGAAATTCCTCGGCAGTACCAGTATCAGACTGAAGAATTGCGAGTTCTCAAGCAAACTCATTCCCACTGTCTTCAAAAAATTTCGAGTGCCGAGAAATCTTCTCAAGAACACATTGAAGAAACCATTCGCCTCAAAGACACCATTGCCAAAATGTCCGTTTTGATTAAGAGTCGCCTGGGAGATTCGGGCGATGCTATGCAGTCAGAGATTGAGAGGCTTCGAAAAGAATTAGCCGAAAAAGATATCATAATACAGGAAAGCGCTCACTTTCATGTTTCAAATTAACTTTAAAGCAGGATTTGGAAAAAAAATTTAAGTTTTCGGAAAGCGTCAATAATCTTGCTGTCAGGGAAGTTCGCACAAAAAATGCAAAACTAGTGAAAGACCTGGAAGACGCCAAAGCCTATTCAAAACAGTTATCCGAGAAACTTGAGGTTGATTGACAATTTGGATCAATCGAATTCATTTTCCGTTGCAGGAAAAAACTCGCCAAATTGCTGCGAAGACAATTCAGTCATCCTTGCACAGTATTCATTCGAGCACAGTTCATCGCGACTCAGTACGAACAAATTCCAAATCACCATCAACACACATCAATCCGCAGCAAAGTTTGCACAAACCACTGCTACAGAAAATGAACAACCTGCACCACACTGAAACAAACAAACCCAACAACGACACGTTGATTCGCTCGTGGAACCTTTCCAAGGAGTCGGTTGATTCGAACATTGCCTCCTTGGATCAGATCAGGGATCGCTTGAAAATACTTGAAGAAAGTGAGGAATCGCCCATCGCGATTGTGGCACGAAGATTTTTATTCATGCAATTGTCTTCGATGGAGACGGCCGACAGCACAATATCAGGCGATGACTTAAAATTTTTCAGAAGTTGAAGCACAGCTTGTGGAACAAAGAATATTTTTGGTTTTTTTTAATGATTTTCTCGAAATTTGCTGAAGTCAGTTGCCGTCTCTACAAACCACTGTAAATATACATAGTGAGCCGAATTTTCTTGTGGCCTAGTGGTCTAGTCGTATGATTCTTGCTTCGGGTGCAAGAGGTCCCGGGTTCAATTCCCGGCTGGGCCCATTTATTTTTGGCAACTGGCTCAAAAATAATGTTTACGGATCTTTATTCCGAAATGGACGCACAGTCCGTTACTTAATTGTCAAAAGCTTCACTTCAAACACGAGCGTTGCGTTTTTGGGAATATCTGCGTTTGGCGAAAAATAAGGTGAAATTGTTATGATGCAGAAAAATTATTACCAGGTGGCGCGCCTTGTGCACCGTATGCAAGCGCGGGCGGAATCGTGAGTTTCCTCGCACCACCAACCTTCATTCCGTTGACACCAATGTCCCAACCCTTGATAACTTCTCCTTTTCCAAGCTTGAATTCGAAGGGCCTGCCGGTCGTCGACGAGTCAAAAACGTTTCCGTTTGTCAACTTGCCGACGTAGCGGACACCGACGCGCGAGCCAACTTTGGCAATCGGGCCACTGCCTTCAACAACCTCCTCAATAATCATTCCGTTTGGGTGCTTCGTGACCTTCTTTTGTGACGAGGCATCTTCTTTTTTTTCTTTTTGCTTCTTGTCAGTCTGCTTCTCGTTTGTCTTTTCGGTGCTTTTTTCAATAGGCTTTTCTGGGGCCTTTGGCTTTTCTTCTTCTTTCTGTTGCTTTTGCAACTTCTTCTTTTCCTTTTTCGATAATTTCTTCTGGTCACCGGACGCAGCACTCGAAACGTCTGTTTTCTCGTTGGTGGCGACTTTATTTTCGGACGGAGCGTCCGTGTCGCTATCTGGAAGCTCTTCGATCTTAGGCTTCTTCAGCGACTTTTTCGATTCGATACTTTTGCGCTTCTTGTCCAGAGCTTTTTGAATTTCTGCAAGTGCTTCCGCCTAGATAACGATCATAACTTTAAAAAAAACCCCCAATGAAAACAACAATACCTCGGCTTCTTCATCATCGTCGTCTTCGCCATCAATGTCTTCGTCATCCTCTTCATCATCTTCATCGTCTCCAATCAGTTCTGAAATGTCAATGGGGTTGCCGTCCGCATCCACGGCCTCGCCTTCCTCGTTGAAGAACACGTCCATTCCGGAGGCGTCATCCTCGTCGTCACTATCGATCTCTTCGTCTAACAGACACGGTCAAAAAAAAAAAGACCGAAAAAAAAACAACCCAACCTTCGTCTTCGTCTTCTTCTTCATCTTCATCACCGTCTTCATCATCTGAAATTGGGGGGTTTTTTTTTTGAATAATTAGCTTTTGACGTTCCATTGCGTCAAAGTAAGGGTCACCTTCGTCATCGTCGTCTTCGTTCGGAATATCATCCATAATATAATTTCCAGTCAAGTGGACAGTTGCCGATCCCACAACAGTGAACGAGATTTCCTCTCCTGAAAAACAAAAGAAAAAAAAAAGCGGCGTTCAACTTGGAATGGCATATGCAGCGTTACCTTCAGAAAACGTCAAGTCCACAACGCATTGTTCAACAGAGCCGACCAGCAAATTGGCAATAGTGAATTGGTTGTTGCCACTTTGGACGGACACGCTGACGCGGGTGCCGTTCTTCGCAGTGGTTTTGGGGTCGATGGCAATCTGAATGCGGATCAGTATGGCTTATGCGAATAACAGGGGGGTAGTCACGTTTGTCAGACGGAACGACTGCTCGACAAGCTGCGAATATCCGGTCTCGGGCTCACAGGTGAGGCCCCAGAATGCAATGGCGGTCATTTCGTTTGGTTTCTTTCTTTTTTCTTCGCACAGACCTTCAGTTGGGGCCATGCGCGTCGTTTGCGTTTGCGGGAATACCGTGCTTTGACTTGCATCTGCCTGCAGCAGCCTTCGTTCCTGACAAGCGCTTGCGTGCGGCGTGTGGTGTTAATGAACTGGTGCACGTGTTCTCCGTTGTACTCGCATCCGTGGTTGGCGTATGTGTGCGCATGTGTACCATGTTTCTGTGTCATCAGTCAATGCATGCCGTGCCGTGTCGTTGTTGGTCCATCGTTTCGTGATTTTGGATGGGCTGTGGGGACATAAACTCATTTCTGGTCTGAAACAACCCATCCACCCCTTCGCATCATGGCCAGCGAGTTCGCAAACCCCCTCAAGAAGTTCAAGCTGGTCTTCCTTGGAGAGCAAAGTGGTGCGTGTTTATCCTTGGGCGGCTCCCCCGTTGTCAACGTGTCCGCCGCTCATCGTGATCCCTTAATGGAATCGCTTACCAAACCAATCAGTCGGAAAGACTTCGCTCATTACAAGATTCATGTACGACACGTTCGATAATACATACCAGGTTCTTTCGCTTCTTGGTCGCGGCCTTTCCCAAACGTTAATTGTAGGCAACAATTGGGATCGATTTCTTGTCGAAAACCATGTATTTGGAAGACCGGACGGTCCGTTTGCAGCTGTGGGACACTGGTATGCTTCTGTTGAATCACATCCTCAACGTTTATGGCAAACTTGACGTTTTTTTTCTTTCGTTCTATATCTGCACTTGTAAAATCCACAGCGGGGCAAGAAAGATTCCGCAGTCTGATTCCTAGTTACATTCGAGACTCGAGTGTCGCAGTTGTTGTTTATGACATAACAAGTTGAGTGAATCGCATCGTAAATTGGGTTGCAAATGGCTGCGAATTTCATCATTTTAAATCCAAACCCCAGGCCGTACTTCGTTCCAAAATACGAACAAATGGGTTGATGACGTTCGGGCTGAGTTCAGTTTTCTTTCTTCATTGTTTCATTTGGACCGGAAGACGCTGATACAGAAGCTTTACAGGCGTGGAAACGACGTGATCATTGTTCTCGTTGGTAACAAGACTGATTTGAGCGACAAAAGACAAGTTAGCACGGAGGAAGGAGAAAAGAAGGCAAAAGAAGCGAATGTATTGTTTATCGAAACATCGGCGAAGGCTGGATACAACGTTAAGGCACTGTTTAGAAAGATTGCGCAGGCGCTCCCTGGCGGTGGCGAATCCGGTGGCGAGGGAGGAAACTCAAGTGGAGGTGCGTTTTCAATGATGTTCGCGATGAGTCTCTGAAATTTTCTTTTGTTTTTTCAGTCATCGACGTCAAGCTGAGTGCGGCCGCAAAGCCGTCGGATGGATCGAGCTGTGCATGTTGATGTCATACGCACTGTGAAGATGTCCAAGAATCCCAAAACGCTCTTTTTGTTGCTTTACAGTCTTCGTTTGTGTGTGCCGGTGGCGCCGACGTGTGCGCGCGTGTGCATGAGTTTGAGTTTGATTGGAAGAAAGTCTCGTGTCGCGTCCCGCAGAATGAACTCCTCCTCCACTGCATGCCCAGTTGCGTGCACATGCGGTACCACCGCGAATCTCGTACCGCCGCCCCAAGGCCCGAGTACAAGTCTGTGCGCGGCTTATGCTGTCGGATGGATTTGAAACCGCGCTACGCCCCCACTTCACACGGGTGCTCACAACGCTCGGACGAATATTCCGTTTGTTCATTCGATGCCACCGACCATAGCTGTGATGCCCGCAACCTCACGCAGCGGCCTCGCCTGCGTGCAGGCCCTGGCCGCGCTCCGCGGAGATGCGCATGTGCGCTTTGTCACCCGCCGAGCGTCTTACGACAAGCCCCTGCCGGCAAACGCGAGCGTGGTGGCGAACGCGGACGCTGCTGCACCTGTGAACGAGCTCGCCGAGCGTGCGTTCAAAGGATGCACGGCCGCACTTATCGTCACCACGCACGACTACTCGGCGGGAATTGCCGAGGACGCCGAAAACACCGCCAACATGATCCGTGCCGCCGTGGTTGCTGGAGTGCAATACATTGTGCTTGTGGGCAGCTGGACCGTGCATCACCCTGTGGCACTCAGCGCTCTTGCTAGCAGATTTTTGGGGCCCGAAGCTCTGCTCAAGAGTCTCGAAGCCGAAAGCGGCATCAAGTGGACTGTGTTACGCGGAGGATACTTTGCAGAAAATGTCCTGATGCAAGTGCCGAAGGTAAAACTTGGTTTTCTTGCTTGTTCGGCGTTCCTCATATTTCCAAGATCAATGCTGGCGAGGATGTGGTTTGCACAAAAGCCGAGTTTTCGCCGATCGATGTTGCAAACATCGGCCAGTGTGCTGCTGTGTGTCTTTCCGAGGGCCCCGATCGACACCACGCCAAATGCTACGAAATGAGCGGGCCCGAGGCTCTTTCTTCCGAGGAAATGATCAAGACTCTAGCAGATGCGATGGGTAAAAAAGTAAATGTGCGTGTGGTGCCTGCCTCCGAGGTTGCAGGTCCAGAGTACATGAAGCAGCTTTTTGTGCTGGCCGAGAACACCGAAGGTTGCACAAGTCCTTTTAACGCGGACGTCGGTGGCTTGATTGGCGATGCGAAGTGGACGCGGTTCGGCGACTGGGCCAGGAAGGCGGTGTCCGCGTTGGGTCAAAAATAAATTGCGCGTTTGTAAAAGTTTTGAATGGCTTTTTTAGCATAGTGACTCACAGGAAAGGACATAAAAAGAGGAAGCTTTCACGGCCTTCCCATCATCGCATTAAGGAGAATCTAAAGCAAACGGAAAAAAATGGATCTCGTGGATACGACAAAGACCATTGGCGGTATAAGCTCGAGAACAGCAGTGCCCAAGTCTCGATTCCAGGAAGTTTTTCAGCATATCATTGTCACTCCGAAATTTTTCCTGTTGAATACGTCTGTGTCCAATGGAAAATAAATTGCACGCTATGGTCATCAATTCCTGTGCGAGCTCGGAAACTCCACATCAGCCGAACTTCGATTTTCAGTATTACAAGCAAGCATTTATTTCTTTCTATTTTGCACCGTAGGCAATAAGCGTGGATCCCGATCCTTCATACGACAGAAGAAACAGTCTCCCCGAGCCAATAGCTGGCTGGATTCTATTCAAGGTAGTCACCGAGTCCTTGTAAATCGTCTTCATTATTCCGTTCGAATCCGGTATAGCACTGAAAGCGCAGAGGCCATTACCTGCACCGTCAATCACCCATAACACGGCGCTGCCCGTTTGGCCTGCCAAACTCGTCACGATCGGGGCACCGGCGCCGGCAGCGACAGTTGCGTCAGACTGGCCTGCATGCACAAACACCGGTGTTCCCGAATCG